TGCGAATTACATAGAAATGTACATACACGTATACCTGTATAATGTTCAGAAAAAAGACAGGAGTAAACATACTGTAATGTTAACAACAGTTATCCTTTGAAGGGGTGGTAAAGGTGATTTTAATTTCTTCTCTATCCCTCAGTGTATCTTCTAAATAGTCATGTATTTTATAGTTTTAAAAAACAAGTCTTTAAAAAAGATACGAATGCTCTACTTTCAAATATGATTTCTCTAGCTTTCTTGAAACGTGTTCATATCATTGGATTGTTAAACTTTTAAAAATTCAGTCTTATTTTTGTGACAAAAAATTGATTTAACTCTTTGGCATAAAAAAGAGCACACTCTGGTTTAAGCATGTCTCTGCCTTCCTCTTTTCCCAGATCTATCCGATGGCTGTGGTGGCCACTGCAGAGAGGGGACTGATCGTCTATCAGTTAGAGAATCAACCTTCTGAATTCAGGAGGATAGAATCTCCCCTGAAACACCAGGTGAGTCATAAGTCAAATCAAGAAGCTTGTATTTAGCACCTGTCATGGGTAGTCAGTGCCCATATATGGAAATCATTGTACTTTCAGACATCGGAAGGGAGCGAATTTAAGTATATAAACAAAAACACTTAGTGAATAGAGACTGTCCTCTCCGAACATCCCCACTGAGAGCCAGGTGGATGCACGTCTCAGTGGATTGGTTCCATCGTGAATTTCCATCATGAATTTATAGCTTCCGTTTTTAGCTCAGTCTTCACTTGCCATGGATTCCTAGATCTTCTCTCTCTTCAAACCCCAAGACTCTCCCTCCTCTAGCCTTTGTCTCAGCAGATCAGATCAGCCTCTCATCTGAGAACATAGCAGCTAACGGTTGGGAACTTCCTCATCTTCCTCCTCCTGAGTCTAGAACTCTGGTGACACCTGCATCTCTCCCTGCCTTTTCCCACCTGTTAGGTGGAGTCTGTGCTCTCCAAAGACCAGTTTTATGGTTGGGCCCCATGCCCTCCAGCCTGCTCAGGAACCTCAGGCAGTCAGGCGCCCACCTCCCTTTTCCATCTCATCTCCTGACTTCTGAGTACTGCTCGGTGACACTGAACCGAGCTCAAGTCTCGTTCATCCTAGAAACACACCTCTTCACCCCCACATCTTCTGCCAGCTAGGTCCCTTTTTCCCTTTGAAGACAGGTGTCTTTCGTGAGCTTTCTCGGTTGCCTTACCTCCCACTCATTTCTCACCCTGCTCCTTTGATACTTCTGCCCCTGTTTCTCCACTGAAACTTTTTGGCATGGCCACTGACGGCTTCCTGGTCAGTAATTCCAGTGGATACTGATCAGTGCTCATCTTAGCATCATTCACCACTGTCCTTACATGGTCTTAAAACTGTGCCCCTGGTTTCTGTCGCGCTGCCTTTTGCCTCCTGCGCCTCTGGTTGCTGCTTAGTCTTCCTTGCTGGTTCTTGCTGCACGTGGAGGTTCTGCAGGCATCTGCCCTTAGCCATGCCTTCTCTACCTGAGCAGAATCCCATCTGCCATCCATTGCTGTTGCTCAGTCACACCTGTGGGCTGGAGACTTGGTTCCCAACAGACCTTGCCCGTGTGCTTCTGACAAGGACACCCACAGTGACGCTGTTTCGCATGACTCCCGATGTCTCAGCCCAGCGGTATCCCACGCCAGGCCCGGGGCTGCTTTCTGCAGATGTTTATTGAGTTGTTACCTCTTATCAGGGTTCTCTCTGGTCACTCTATGCATGCTGTGTGTATATAGATTTGTGCGTCAGTTGGACATTCACATACATATAGGTCTTGTTTTCCAACTAGAATGTAAACTGAGAGATTTTTGTGTTTGTCGTGGTTATTCCTGGCACCTGGAGCCAGGCCTTTCACAGACGTACACTGTATTGCTTGCTGAGTGAACATAGTCACCTGCCCCCTGCCCCCGGCCTGCTCTTCCCATGTGCTCTGCCTCTCCCTCAATAGCCCTCCAGCGCCTAGTTGTCTAAGCCAGAACTCTGGGCATCATCCTCACTCACTCTCCCTCCTCTCTCGTCTCACTTCTGCTCTGTACATGATTCTCTCCTCCTGTCTTCTACATCTGACCCGAGTCTTGAATGACAACACAAGTGTAGCTCTGTGCCCTCTTCAGTCCATTCTCCATACATGAGTCAGGGGCTCTTCCTTGAGATGGCATGTACAACCCTGCCATATCCCTGCTTATGACCCAGCAGTGACTCCTCAGTTCCCCTTGGATCAGCCCCAAACTTCTTGACAAAACCTCATCTGGTTTTGCCTCTCCCACCTCGCGCCATGTACCTGGCTTTTTGTTTGTTGAAGGATGCCACTAGCCTTGGCGTAAGGCCCCTGTGCGGGTGTGTTCTCGTAAATGGTGCCCCTTGAGGCTGTGTGGCTCCTGGTCTGTGCTGTATACTAGACCCTGTGCTGAGCAGGGCAGGAAGGTGGACAGCTTGACCAGCCGTGGTCCCTCCTGTCCTTTAAGGACTGACAGACTTTTGTCTCTGTATTTTTTTTCTATTCAGAAAAGTAACAGATGTGCTATTTTTTAAAAGGGCAGAGGTGGCAAATGATACAGAAATAGAACTAGCCTATGCCTTTCGACTTACTTAGGAAACTTGCATGCTCTAGCAAATACCATGATAACAACCTGCTCTTTTCCTTCATCTTGTGTGGCTTAGCCCCAGGCCTGACCCCTTCCCAGCACCTCCTGAACTCCCAGGAGCTAAGATGTCCAGTTTGGGCAGGGTCCCCTGGGTCAGGCCAAGCTGTCACACCGGAAGGAGGAAGTGAAGACCCAGATGGGCCCCAGTCCTTGCTGCTCTGTCCCTGGAGGCTGGGCTGTGGGCTGTTCCCACGGGACTTTCTGTAGAGCCCAGGAGACCCTCCTTTGGGCCCCTCAGACTCTGTTGGATCAAGTGCAGTGTCTGGCTTTTGTGTGGCACGTTCATAGCTTAGAAGGTACTGCCACATTAGTGTTCCTCCATGCTCGCCGGGCAGACGCGACTTCCCTTTCCGGCTGGGGAAGCAGTGGCTTGGGAACATGGTGTGACTTGCTGGAGGGCACCCGCCTAGTCGATGATGGGCTGCAAATCAAAGTGACATGTCCTCCTCCCGCCCCACCGAGGGCCAGCACCTGAATAGGACCTGGCGGGGCTCTGAAAGCCCTGTGCCCTGCTGCGGTGACAGCAGGCCCTCAGGGCGGCAGAGGAGGAACAGCCCCTAGATGGAAGCGCCCGGTCTGCGGTACGCAGCACAATACAAGGAGGAAGAAAACGTTTTCTGGAGGAATGGAAATACCTACTTCACCATATTTCAGAAATATGTTTCTGATTCTTTTAAGACCCAAAATGGGGTAAAAGCTGTTTACCTTCACATTCATTATGGAATGTTATATTTTACAGTGTGATGATAACACTTTTCTCCCCCAAACTATAGCATCGATGTGTGGCTATTTTTAAAGACAAGCAGAACAAGCCAACGGGTTTTGCCCTGGGAAGCATCGAGGGGAGAGTTGCCATTCACTACATCAACCCCCCAAACCCGTAAGTGCCGCCCCAGCAGCCTGCCTGTGATTCTCACAGGACACTTTGTGTTTTTAAAAGGAAAACTAAGTTGGGCCTTTGTGTTTTCAGTGCCAAAGATAACTTCACCTTTAAATGTCATCGATCTAACGGAACCAACACTTCAGCTCCTCAAGACATCTACGCGGTACGTTTTTAGAAACTTTAACCCTGAGAATGTGTCTAGAAACGAGGCTCGGTGGTGGATGGCTGAGTCATTGTGGGATCAGAAACGATTGCTGTCATTGTGTGTGGTCATGTGCGGAGATAAACAGCTTACGCAGGAGGTTTCAGTTTTCTGTTTTTATGAACATGTTGACTGTCTTCGTTCTCTCTGCTTCGGAACGCGAGCTTAGGGGTTTTGGGGGAGTGTCTTCCACCTTCATGAGTGCTGGCAGACGGTTGATACACTTTGCTAAAACCGAGAAATTGCTGTTTGCTGAAAAAGAAAAAGGCATTTTCCTGAGGTTTGCTTCTTGGTGTTACTAGCTACATACTTGTTAACTTCTGCTGACTTGTGCCCTTAACGAGGCAAGACTGGGTCCCGGGCTGCTGATTGACTCAGGAAGCCTGGCCAGCTTCTGTGACCGGCGGGCGGCCAGCTCTGGTGAAATGATAACTATGTTTTGTTTCCTGACTCCACCAGGATGTCAGTGTTGTCAAAAACCTGCTTTCTCGTCCCTCCCCTGCCTCTGCTTCTCATTGTGTGTGTCCATCCTTGCAGGTGAATGGAATTGCGTTCCATCCAGTTCATGGCACCCTTGCAACTGTAGGATCTGATGGTAGATTCAGCTTTTGGGACAAAGATGCCAGGACAAAACTAAAAACTTCAGAACAGTTAGATCAGCCGATATCGGCTTGCTGCTTCAATCACAATGGGAACATATTTGCATATGCGTCCAGCTATGATTGGTCAAAGGTAAGGGTTCCCCGGCCCCGCTGGGCGCTGTCGGGCAGCAGAGCACAGGACTGGGTGTATTCAAAGTGGCCACAGGATGCGAACTTGGTTTTTAATCACTTTTTAAGATCCTGTTCTTTTTCCCCTTTAGGGACATGAATTTTATAATCCCCAAAAGAAAAATTACATTTTCCTGCGTAATGCAGCCGAGGAGCTAAAGCCCAGGAATAAGAAGTAGAGGCTGGAGGCCCGGGGCTTGTCCGGGGTCCTCCCTGCACTCTGCCTCGTCTCTGCACGAATTTGGGTCTCAGCTTTTGGTGGGTTGTCAGCCATGGATGTGGATTTCAACCCCCGGAGAAAACCATGTCATTGTTCAGCAGTCAGGAGCCCCACGGCCACAGTGACTCCGTCTGTCCATTCCACTGCTGGTTACAGATGTCATCTGTAACTCTTAGGGGATTGAAATTATTATAGAAGTTCTTAGATCCATGTGGGCGACTGCCAGGTATTTTGCAGTGCTTCATTCAGCAGTGTATGTATTAGAGAACATTGGGAAACCTTCTACGAATCCTGTACTGTATTTTGTAATAAAATATTTTGAAGATGATCTGCTAAGCTCCCTCTGTCCGTGTCTCCCCGTGCCCACCCACCTCCCCCTGTAAGCTCTGCAGTGGCCGTCCTGCTCAGTGTCATCCTCGGGCTTTGATTTGTGATTGCAGATGCCCTTTGGGAGATGCAGAAACCTAGCACCTTAGTGAAGAGGGAGTCCTGAGCTGGGATGGTTCCTAGTGTGGACCATCGGGCAGCAGCCTCTCCGGGCACTGCTGGGCAGAGTTTGAATGAGTTCTTTTGCTTCCTTCATTCCCACCTTTAACACCCCCAGTGCTTTTGTCAGCCCTGCTGGGCCAATGTCCCAGGGACTGGAACAGGCGTGTTCCTGTTCTGAGGCTCATGCCTCTGTGGACAAAGCCCGAGTGGGTAATGTTTGTGTGGCCTTCAAGTTAGAACCCAAGTCCCCGCATGGGAAGTGCTCTGAGCTCCTGCCCCCAGCAGCCGTAGTTTTGGGATGTTGCTTTTTTTATTTCATGTAATTCAGAATTCCTGATTGGTAAGTATCCAAAATGAGAGTGTTGTGTTTTTACCCTGTGGTCCCAAATGCTACTCCTGGTTTACTCTTTGGAGCTGGTATGTAAACTAACTTGCTGAGTGTGGAAATCTGATATTGATCATGTTGTAAGATGTGTTTGCCTACTCATAAAGGACATTGAAAATAAAGTTTTCTACTGAAGAGATTGCCTGCACTTGGTTTAGATTTCATTAGTCATCAGATCACAGATGAATTCAGACCATTAACTCTGGCTCTTTTAGTTGGAAAAGTTGTTTGTTGGTTTGTTTGTTTTGAGAGAGACAAAAAAAGGCAGGTGCACTAGAAAAAAATCTGAATTTTCAAGTTAACTGTCTACAGCTAATTTTTTCCTTTCCTGTATGATAATCGGCCCTGCAGCTTTGATCTGAACGTGCGAGCAGATCAAGCAGGTAAGAAAGACTGCTGAGAGAAGAGAGCCGCACTTGCTTATCTCAGCAGCCAGCTTTCACTGGAGGTGGGAACAGGTGTAGACCTTTAGTTTAGCCATAGTTTCATTATTTTTTACAAGCTAGTGCCTGGCTGTGGTTGAAAGTGACCGCAAAAATATTGAATCTTAAGTCGTGAGCCTTTTAGAGTGTTCTTGTCCAAGATTGGTGTCACATTACCAAGGGGATAGTTTTTCTAACTGGCAGATTTAAATCACTTGCTTAGTCCCAGGTTGGACTTAGCGCTGCCAGAAACCAGGAGTAAGTGAGCTCCTTGCCACCCCCCAGGATGTGAATCCTGGTGCATAGACAAGGCTTATTTCTCCACAGGCCTAGAACCTAGAGTTTAAAAGCCTGCTGCGTGTTTGCTACTGATGAACCTGTAAACATTTGTGGAAGTCATCAAACTTCTTAAGATACTTGTTTTCATGTTTCCTAAAAGGTACATGGGGTCTTCAAGGAACTCTCCATCTTAAACATCATCCCTGCAGGCACGAGTACTGTACGTTGCATACAGTAGGTGCTCAATAGGTATTAAGAAATTTGATGGCATCTTCTAGTTTGAAAAGATACAAGTGTAATCTACACTCTTTTAATGTCACATCAGTCTGCCATTAAAAATTTACTGGACGCCCAGTTAAAAATAGAGTTCCTGCTTTCACTGAAGGTGGAATATATAGTTATATATAATATAATTCCACTGAAGGTGGAATTATGGGGAAGACAAGTTTTGTTCACTTTTTTCCCCAACTTTTTACTATGAAAATTTTCAAGCAAACGGAGGAGTTGAAGGAGCGCCATGGTGAACATGTCTGGTACCTAGATTCCACAGCTCACGTTGTGCTGTCACTGGGTTTTTCCATTTGGCTTTACCAGGCTTTTCCTCGTCCCTGTTTGTAACACCACTTTTCTTGGTTAACTGCACACGATCTGGTGTGAGGACCGTGTGTTAAGATGCTGGTGAAACGGGGTGAATACAGGTTTGGGAGTCGTGTACAGGGAGGCCCACATCCGTTCCTGTTATGTCTGGGCCGACCCCGTGTTCCGCAGACACGAGAACCAGCATGGAAATGTGCTGGGCGCGTGCGCATGTCTGAGCCTGCCTGGGAGACCCCTCTCAGTCAAGGGGAGCCCTGCCTGCCCCCCACTGCATTAGGAGTGGCTTCATCTGCGGCGGCGTTGGACAGGAGGATGCCGGGCTGGGTGGGCTTGGCTGGAACAACGTGCAGGCGGACCTACTCCAGGGAGGGGCTGCTGTCCCCGGAAAAGGCGCCTCCACCGCGAGGGTGAAGCTCCCCGGAGGCGGGGCCCTGCGCGAGAGGGCGGGTTACAGCGCAGCTTCCGGACGCCCGGCCACCCCGCTTCCACGGCCATTTACTTATTTTTCTTTAAATCAATCCACTTACTTGCCTTTTGGAAATAAATTTGTCAGCGCCATAAATTTAGAGAAAAAAATTTCAGTATATGGCAACCTAATATCTTCCGCCTAAAGTAGAAAATAATCATAAAAAAATACGATGAAAGCGAGACACGAAATGATTCAATGGAAATTACAACAGACCACCTGAAAGTCATCTTTGAGGTGCAGACGTACCTTGCTGGAAAGTGACACGAAGGTGACATTATTCTGTATGTTCTAGGCTACCTGGCAGAGCGGAGGGGTACTCTATTTCTACTCAAATTTGAAGGAAGGGCTCTGTAAGAAAGGAACCAAATGCATGCCCTTGAAAGCATATAGGAACATCTAAGCCAGCATTTTCCGATTTCGATCGTGACCCATCCGTAGGTAGTACAATGACTGTAGCTGTCGCAACCAGCATTTTTTAAAATGGAGTCACGGAAGACTGCAGAGAACATTGAGAACATTCTGGTGCACTGCTCACAGTGACGGTGTGTCTGCACACTGCGCTACCATTATGTGTGTGTGTGTGTACGAACTGATGCGTGCATGTGTTATATATTTTATAGTATCCTGCATTGGAAGTTTTCTCTGTCCCCGTTCCTTTTTTTTTTTTCCTGTTCCTTTTATATGGTTTAGACTGAGTTCTTGAGGTTCAATAACCTCATGAGGTCTGTGTGAGTTCCAGTCATAACTATGTCCTTGCAATCACCCCAAAATAGGAAGGGTCATTATGTTGTTCATAAGACGACAATTGAAATAGCTGTACAGCATAGTTAAGAACAGGCACCTAGAGTGGGATTGCCTGCCTTCACACCCCAGCTCTGTCACTTACCAACTCTGTGACCTTGAGCATGTGATTTAAACAACTCTGAGCCTCAGTGACCTCATCTGTAAAGTGGGAGAGATTAATGAAAGTAGCTATCGCAAAGGCTGGGGTGAGTATTCGGAATCAATGCACGTGAAGTGCTTCCATGGCTGGCGGGTAATAAATGCTCAAGTGTTAGCTGCTACTTCTGTAACTTCCAGGGCGGGTGGCATCTGTGGAAGCTGTTGGGACAAAAACATCCACGGACGGGCAGTCTGGAGATCTTGCTAGTCTGTAAAAGGGTTCTTGAAAGGGGAGGCTGCTTCAGTGCGGCCAGCAGATGGCGCCAGTGATGCCAGTCGGGGGATCAGGTTCTGTATTCAGTTTCAGCCACTTCAGCTGATGAAAAGAAATGACGAGTCGGTGCCCCGCTGGCTGCCATTACTAAGCTTGTAAAGCAGTTGGAAAGTGGAGTTGAAGGATTATTTATACTGCTAGAATACTGTTCTTTGAAATAATACACTTTTATCTTTACAAGATTGGTGGCCTCCTTAGGAAATACCAAAGTCGACAATTTTTCAGAGGTCAGATTGCTGACATTTCTACTTAAAATTTAATGTCCCCCTTGGTTTCCTCCTGGGACTTTGAAGCCTTCGGTGAGGTGCAGGGGACTCCGAGCACCTGCCCACCCTGCCCTGGTCTGGGAAGGAAAGATTAGGAAACACCAACCTCCATCCCAAATGGGTCTCGGTGGCAAAAAGGCCATTTAAAGATGGGTTTTAGTAACTGCATGTTTGAGATCTCCGTGTGATGACTCGGAATTGAGATGTAAAAGTAAATTTAGCACAGCAGATTTCAAAAGCAGAAAAAGAATGTAAATATCTCATTAACCTTTTACAGCGATTACACATTGAAATCATAATATTCTGGATAATACAATTAATTTCACCTGATCGTACTTTTGTACGTGTGGTTACCAGAAATGTCAATCTACTGCTCGCAGTAGATTGCCCTGGGACATTGCACCCCCAGGCCCTCTGACTGTTTGGAGTTGTCCTACTCATCACATCAAATGTTAAAGTGTGCCCACATCCTACCTTAAATACATATTTTTACTGAAAATTTTTTGAAAAAAATGCTTTTCGTGTTTTACTTCTGAAATTATTTGGCAGTTTTTAATTTACACTTGGCAATGATTTATCAGTGATCACCTTGAATACCAGGAAATTTCTCAAAAGTGTTTTCTGACAAATTTTTGGAACTCTGTAAATAGTAAGGTCAATAGTATTACATTTGTAGACACTAAATGAAACATTAATTTGGGATTGTTGCTCTCATATTTTGAAGCTATTTTCTCTCCCTCCTCTCCCACCCATCCCCACACCTCAAGACACTTTTGTAGGCCTTTGAACAAGCTGTATAAACCCTGGACATTGGGTTCAGAGCGCCTGGTGGGAAATGTCTCGGGGCCACAATGTTTACGAAGGGCAGTTTCAACACAGGCATCCTATTCCCTTGAGAGGGGGTAGGTTGGTATCCAGAGACTGCCAGCGCGTCTTAGCTCTGTAGGATTTCCTGCTAAGTGAGGTTACCTGGATTTCACAGACCTTGCTCTGGGGAAGGCAGGAGAAGGCAGCAGAACCATGTGGCTGCAGTTTTGAGAGTTTTTATCACAACAGATGTTATGTCACTACAAGACAAACAGGAGCAGAGCAGATAATTTTGTAGCCTGTTGTTTGCAAGTCTAGTGTGAATTTTGCATCGATATGTTGAGAAATACTCTTAAGGTGAGGGCCGTTTTCAAAGCAAATTTTAAAAAACCTGTTACACGCTTGCTTAAACTGTAAGTCAGCCCCTAAAGAGTAACTGCTATGCATTCTTATTCTTTTGGTTTCCGCCGCCCCCCGGGTCGAGGAGAGCAGGAGAGGTGATGGGGACAGGAAGGTGGACACAAGTCCTACGAAGAAACTGTCAGTCCCGGCGTCCCATGGGCCCAAATCAGCAAGGCCCTTTGGGTCAGCCTGCAGCTTCAGTTTCTCTTCCCCATCGCCGGTCAGCAGTGGAGGTCTCTTCCTCCGCTTCTGAGTCTCAGATTAAGATGCAGCCAGTAGTCCTTTGGTATAGTGTCAACTACTCTAGGTGAGATTTCACAAGGCTGCCAGGGGACCAGGAGGGGAGGCTGTCCTTGCTCCGACTGGGTTTCGGGCCTGGACTCACCGCTTTCAGCAGTGTGACGTATTTGCCAGCATTTCCATCCCCCATGGGTCCCTCTGGCTCTCGGGTTGGCCTTTAAAACAGAAATGTAACTGAGGCTGATTTTTTTCTGAGAGAATCCTTGAAGCACGGTATTTCCCCCGTCCTTAAATTCCTGCATGTCTCCTGGGGATGGGGGCTGGGGACCCTCCTGAGGTGCTTCAGGTCACATGAACCCACTCCTCCCCACACCAGTGGGAGCCCGCAGTGAGGCAGTGGCCTATGCGGAGGCCCCAGGCAGGGTTCTGGTTAACAA